TAGCGTGCAAAATACTTGCTCAGGGAGAAAATACCAGGTTGCCAAAGAGATGTTTAATCTAATGGAGACAGGCATAACAATACTGACTGTGAAAGCTGAGGCAGGGTGATGCAGATAGAAAATGAGACCTTTCAGGTTCTTCCTTTTTATAAAAGCACTTAATGACCACTGACACAAAGTACCAAACATGGTCACGGACCCTTGTGGAGTCTGTGTTCAGCCTGTGTGTGCTGCTGGGCTAAATGCTGCCTTAGGGGAGGGGAAATGCTGTCAGCTGCAAGGATAAATCAGGCCAGGTGTAGTTCCTGCCAGCCTTGTTCTGCATCCCTGAAACTGGGTACTCAGCAGTGGAACAAGTGCAGAGGACTGGCCTGAGGCAGTAGTGCTGGCAGCTGCTCTGTGAGCTTCAGTTTTGCCTCTGAGCAGCCCTTCTGAGTGTGTTCCAGTAATTATTCCTAATTATTTAACATGTCTAGTTCTAGATTCTCAAAGAATTGTAATCAACTGCACCTTTACAGCTGGCAAAGTTGTATTAAAATTTGTATCTTCATTTTAGTACTCTGAAAACTTCAGAAGTAATTGTCTCATCGCAGCAAAGTCCATGAACATTCCTCCAACAGTGAACTGGTCAGCTGCATAGCCAAGTACTTTGTCAAATCTTGGGCTCAGTTACTTGCAGCTGCAGAAAATCCTCAAAAAGCAAAAATTTCATATCTGTCTACTGAGCCAGGAGTTTCTGGTTCTCATGGGGTGCTTCAAAACAGTCCATGACCATCATTCTCTGGTCTGTTGGTGTTCAGGCAGCTATTGCCATCCAAGTCTTCAGTGTTGGATCTTGTGCCCAAAATGCTGCCACTGCCACTTTAACATTCTGTCTCTTGTTGTCCAGATGAGCACTATGCCAGGACTTCCTACAAGACCCTGCTTCTATGACATAGACCTGGACCCAGTGTCAGGAGAAGTAAATGGGCTCTTCTGAAAGGAATGTTTAACCAAAGGTTGGTGCCTTCTTGAAGGCCTTCAGTATTTGGGCTTTATTTTTCCAAAGATCTTGAGATAATGGAGTTAAGCCAATCCTATATTATGCCATATGTTTCCAAATGACATTTTATTATAATTCAGCCTGAAAGTTGCCTGCAGTACTATATAATAGTAATTAAATTTTATTTTTGTTTTTAGCTCCCAGAAGAACACCTGATGAGTCATGTAAATGGAACTGTGCTCTGATTTTTTTTATTAAGTCAGAACAAGAGATCAGTGAGAATATAGTGCAAGAAGTGAGTGGAAGGAGGAGTGCTGAAGAATCAACCAGTAACTTTTAATCTGTAATAATTTTTAAACTGCTGTTTTCCAAGCTAGTTGACACTGAGCATATAAAGCAAACTTCCTCTACAGACCTCCCACTTCATGATTGTAGCTGAAGCAGAATACAGAAGCTTGGGTTTAACGACCTCTTTTGATTCAGTGACATGATTTTAATAATTAAAAATCCTAAAGCTGGAGCTGTTTGAAACAGTCTTGGGACTTTAATTGTCTTAACCATCGGGGTTTTGCAGCATCTGTTATCTTTAGAAGTCTTGCTGGCTGCAGTTTCCCCTGTGCCAAGCGGAATCCTCTGTCCCTCTTCTCACACCTCGGGAGAACCTGCTGTGCCCTGGCACTGCTCCAGTGTCATTCCAGAGGAGCAGGGAGGATCCCCTTCGCTGCCCAGTGCTCTCCACAAGTGCTCACCCTGCTTTCTGCTGGGACTTAACCCCTGCAGGCACCTGAGCCACATCAGCCCGAGCCCAGCTGCGACTGCTGTGTTCTTCTGACAATGGAAGGAAAGCTCTGGGTAGCAGATCTGGAGGGACTGGGTCTCTGGCCCACATCTGTGGCTTCTACCAAATGTGTCCTTTGAACCATTTCCTGCTCAGCCATAAGTGCAGTTACACCACTGACAGGCCTTGTTTCTGAATGTACCTTTTTGATCAGTAGAGACAATGTGAACAGTGATCAAGTGATTTGTAACAGGTTTTGTTAGCAGCCAAAAATCATTTTGTAACATGGAGATAGCATTGCTGCCAATTTTTTAACTAATACAAATAAACTGGCAAATACTTCAAGTGCTTTTTGGGTTTTAATGTATGCATTGAGATTACTGAATTAGAATTTATTTCTGTGATTAACTACACACAACAGCAATCATTGTATTGACAAGTAGGAGTGATTATTGCAGTAATAAGTAGCCTGCAATGCACCAGGGGGTGTGTGTTTTAATCTGGTTTCCTTCCCTAGATGATGTATGTTGTCTGTAGGAAATAAACTACCTGAATTATTCTGTGAATGTGAGATACTTGCATCTGACTGCAGAATATCTGAATTAAAAGTCATGAGGCCCATCTGCTTGTATCAGAACTGAATCTAAAAACATTCCAAATTTGGTGAGAACTGGGAGGATCAGGATGTAGGTGTGCACCAACGTAGGGGAGCATTTGTAGTACACAGATACTGTGTGTGAATATGTGTATATATGGAAAGAAAGATCTCTATTTCTTCAGTTATTCAGGAGGGGAGAATAATTACATAAAAGTTACCTGGTTGTGACACAAGCAGACAGAACACTTAAAATGGTTATGAGAGCATTTGAGATGCATTCACAGCCTCCTAAAATGTTCCCTTTGATGTTATCCAGCCAAGGATTTCCTGGCAGGCGGGAGAGCAGGTTCCCTGCCCTTGCAGGGGGTCAGGAGGGGTTCCCCCACTGCTGCCCAGCCTGGCTGAGGGTGCCCCTTCACCTGCAGCTCCTGGGCCCAGCCTTCCCTGGGAGCAGCGTGCCAGAGCGGATGCTGCCAAGTCTGCTGTCAGTTCCTACATTTAATCTTCCCTGCTACACTGCTTTCCTGCAAGTGCTCCGTGTTCCACCTTCATTTCATGCTTATGAAAGATGGGATAAGTGCAAATTTATGCTAAGATTAGCCTCCTTTTAGTTTAGCATGAGATCATAGCCATGTGCTTGAGAGAGATGGTTCAAGGGGTTGCTGGTCCCCCTCCTGCAGTGAGGCACAGCGCCGGATCAGGCACGAGCTGTTCAAGGGTTTGCTGCACAACAACAAAGCACAAGGGCCAAAAAAATAGCCCCAAGCATCTCCAGAGATCAATGGAGAATGTTTTCTAACCTGCACTTCTAACCTCTCTTTTCTCTTGCAGGATGGATACATAAATAGGTTATTTTTTTAATACTCTCCTTTGTAGCTAAGGGTCCCAGCTGGGTCTTGTCCTATCAAATAGGACACAGAGGACACTTAATTTCTCCTAAGTACTCAGTGGTTTTCTTCTCCTCCTGTTGCTTAGAGAAAAAACTAATTAAGTGCAAATTTCTTCTCTGTGGGCTATTTGTGGGCCTGGTCCTTAGCTGGTGTTATGGCCATCCGTCCCCCGTGCTGTGCTGTTGTGAGAGCACTGCATCACATCCTGTAAGAAATAACACAGATTTATGGTTTTAGGTAGTGCTGGGGGCAGGAAAGAGGAGAAGGTGTTGCTTGGTTGACTTGTTGCATGTCAGCAGCACCACAGAAAGAAAACAGGATCCAGCTGGGCCAGGATCTTCTGTCCAGCTTACCCAACTTCTGACCTGATCCTTTGCTTACCTTTTATTTCCCTTTCACCACAGCCACTGGTGCTGCCATCTGCCCCTGGAGCGTCAGGAATAATTGGATTCCATGCCAAGTGCTCCCAAGGGGATTCATGGCAGCTTGCCTCCATCACACCACCACATTCCCCAGCCTCACATTAGCCATCCTCATTGTCTGCTTCCCTCCCTCCTGCCTCCAGCTGCAACGAGGGAAAAGCTCCTTGCACTGAAGGGCCTCACTTGGCTTTAATAAAGCAGTGGATCATAATTAGAACCCACCACCCACCTCAGGAGAGAAGCTGTTTCCAAATGAAGTTTATTATCCTGAGTGAATGCAAGCAAACACATCTCAGAGGGGAGCTTTTAAAAAGGCAATTCCTTGTGATGCTCAATGCACTTTTTCTGCCCTCCTGGCTGGCGTTTCAGCCCAACTAATCCATTTTGTACCTTTTTTCCCATGAAGAAGCTGAGGAGGGGGGAGGCCATGTGTGTTTTTTCTAAGCCTGGCCTACACTGGAAGCCACTTGCAAGTTCAGAGTGCTGCTTTGCTCAGTTTCTCGTGTGCAAACACGCTGTGAAGCAGTTAATGTCTGTAAAGCCTTTGTGGGCGTCAGCTCCCCGTGGAGATGAATGGGGACGTTCGGGCATCTCAACTGCAGTTTCCTGTAGTTCATCAGCTGCACTGGGAAGTCCTTTTTCTGGAGGCTCTCCCATCAATCATCACAGCTGGAGACTGTGATTTTTTTTAAAGTCAGATCTCAGCTGCTTTGGAGAGAAGAAAGGCTCCGATGAAAGAGGCACTTTTCTCTGGTGTTTTGGGCATGGATTAGTTTGAAGCCAAGAGCTGGCTGTCCTCATCTCCACCTCCAAAGGTGTAGCTCCTGCAGCACCTCCATCAGCGAGTGCTGAAAGCCGTGAAGGTTTCAGGTGGGACACAAAAAACACAAAAAACAAGAGCAGGGCGCCCTCCCTCCCCGGAAAGCCAGGAACCCCCCAGCGCTCGGGGCTCCCTCACAGCTGGCATCCCGACTACGAACCGCAGCTCGATTGCTGCCAGAACCTTCACCTCGAGCAGAAGCTGGCGGCTTTCGGCTCTGTGCACAGCCCGGGAGGGGACGGGAGCTCGCTGCCCCGCCGGGACAAAGGCACGCCGAGCAGCGAGGCACGCTCTCCCCGCGGAGCACGGAGGCGGCGGCGAGCAGGTGCGGGCCGGGGCGGGGGGCGGGGGGCTGCCGGCAGCGCCCTCCCCGCCGGCCCGGGGGG